ATAATCTTACAGTGAAAACACAGGACCTCAACAAATATATATTAATGTTTCATCAAACCTCATCTGCCTGTCTTTCACATCAGTGGCAGATAAGGCTAAGCTAATTTTTTGCAGTTATCAGGAACAAACATACTTATAATTACAATAAATCACTTGCCAAAGTAATCATAATTACAATTAATTTTATTTGTGTCAAGTTTAATTGAACATAAGGAAATTCCTATAATAGTCTAATTTATTACTGTCACTGTAATTGTCCCATGCCTGGTGTGTATGTAGAGCCACACTGACTAGGATCCAATATATGGATATTATGCAACAACAAATACTATAAAGTACTGTACTGTCTGTGTCTGATGAAAGTCTGCACAATTGTGAAACATTAGTGTAATACTGAAAATGAATGACATTTGTAACGGTAAGCTCGATTAGATTACATATGTTGGTGTAAATAATAAGTCTAATGTACACTAAAAACCTACTCGCTTATCTGTGACGGCACTGTTGATGATAATGTTCAAGATTTACCTGTGTGTGATCTGTTAGATGATTTACCACTAGACTTCACTGGCTTTTAGACTGAAGGATAAGTTGGTGGTGGTGCTGGGGAAGCAGTGCAGTGTAGTGTGGGAGTGTTGGGGGGGGGGGGCACTAACCACTTCCCTGCCTCAAATGACAGCCAACAGTCTCATTAGGGAGTTCAGTGAGTGTCTAAAGATTAGTTATTATTAGTTATTAACTCTACATGCAGTATTAATGTACAGTATGTGGTAGTAATATTTTGTGGGGTTTATAAGGATTATAGGGGTGAAAATGTCTGAGGGCTGGTACCAATTGACCCATTTAGCATGCAAACTATACTCACCACCTTAACGGTTTTCATTTTAACGACCATTTTCATGATACCAATTACTGTAGTCGTTAAAGTGAAGTATGGACTGTATTTACTACTTTTCGAGTAATTGTAAATGATTACCAAAAATATACCAGCAATTGTAACAAATTACATTGTGATAATCTTACAGTGAAAACACAGGACCTCAACAAATATATATTAATGTTTCATCAAACCTCATCTGCCTGTCTTTCACATCAGTGGCAGATAAGGCTAAGCTAATTTTTTGCAGTTATCAGGAACAAACATACTTATAATTACAATAAATCACTTGCCAAAGTAATCATAATTACAATTAATTTTATTTGTGTCAAGTTTAATTGAACATAAGGAAATTCCTATAATAGTCTAATTTATTACTGTCACTGTAATTGTCCCATGCCTGGTGTGTATGTAGAGCCACACTGACTAGGATCCAATATATGGATATTATGCAACAACAAATACTATAAAGTACTGTACTGTCTGTGTCTGATGAAAGTCTGCACAATTGTGAAACATTAGTGTAATACTGAAAATGAATGACATTTGTAACGGTAAGCTCGATTAGATTACATATGTTGGTGTAAATAATAAGTCTAATGTACACTAAAAATTATTACTGTATAACAAAATTATTGATCACTACCAAGATAACTTTCTTCTATTTAACAATGGGTGCTTTAACAAAACTCCATGTTAAATAAAGGATATGTCAGAGGGTACAATGTATTACTAAAAACTTTTAGATGTCTTAATCTGTCTGTACATAAACCAATAACAACATATTTTTGCAGCTAATCCAGCAATTGAAAAACAAGAATGACAACAGAGAATCAAGGAATCTGTGTTCTCTTCATTCTGGCCACCCAGAAAGAAAAAAAAATCCTTTACTAGGTGATAAATTTGGGGTATATATTATAAAACTTATAAATATTCAATATAAAGTACTGTACAGTGCTGTTAATTGTAACAAATTCAATATGTGTGTGTGTGTGTGAAGATATATTTCCCATCTTCATTAGCTTAAGTTCTTATACAGACATAACCACTAACCTATATCCTCTAAGAAGCACAAGAACCATCAAAAACTTTCTCCAATTGTTTCGAATAAAGTCTGCAACTGGCAGAAACTTATTTAATACACACAGTCCAATGTTATATAAACATGTTTTATACTTTAACCTCAAGCTCCCAGCCTATAACTTCTATCTTTATGCTGCTTTTCACTGCCATGGTTGACAACTTTTTCATAGGAACAAAAATGTAAAATGCACCAGTAACTTTGAAAGACTGTATACAACAGCTCACAAATAGGAACACTTTTCACAAACATTTTTAGCTTATAAATAAACACATTTTGATTACAGAAAAAATACCCAGTTTAAATGTACATAGGATATTCAGTTATACAATATAACAAAACCAGAATATGAAACATATTTCCTATCCAGAATACACACAATGTATATAATCACCAATTTGGAGTCTAACAAAATTTCTCAAACAGAAGGTTGTTTAATTCTGCATTACCCTCTATCAAATTTGGTTTAGATATACATGTACAGTACTGCATATACTTTACTTGAATTGTATTTGATAACCCAAATAAAGGATTTCTCAGTACTGTACCACTTCCAAAATAGTAATTTATGTGGACAAGAAAAATAAGTGATCCCTCGATTAACGAACGGTTCAATTAACAAAATTTTGGTTAATGAATTAGCTCCCATAACGAACACAACTTCGATTAACGACAGCCTTTCGAGAAACACGCTTTGCTGTGCGCATCAGCTGATCAGCTAGTCCGCCAATACAGTAATTGGTTCTATGTTTACATTTGTTTCCAGTGGAGTAAATATCAAGAAAGTTGTGCTCTTGAATGTTTTTGCATTTTTTATATTAAAATTATTGGTAATTCTGAAAAATAATTAACATATTGATAATATATACAGTACAGGGTACAGTGTTTGTGTGCCCTTCAGCTGATCGAATCACCCACCAACACTTCTCAGTTTAACTTTGTTTACAGTGGAGTGAACATCGAGTTTGTTGGTCTCGAATATTTTTGCATTTTTACATTAAAATTATTGGTCATTCTGAAATTTAGTTACATATTAATAATATACAGTGAAGAAATTATTATGAAACATGAGGAATGCATTAGAACCAATGCACTCTGTAAAGAATGTAACATGTCATCATCGACTGGCTCTACAATCAGCTGTTTGACATGTAAACAAAGCTACCGGGAATATGACATACACACCTCAAAATAAGTTAAAATATAGTATTCTATTGTTTTTTTTTATTTATTATTGTACAGTATACTGTGCAGTACAGTACTGTATTTAGTTTATATTTAATGTTTTGTTAATTCTATTACCGGTATACAGTAATTTGTATGTATACTTTTTCTGAGAGTTGGAACCAATTACTCAATACAGTGAGTTCTGCTATAACGCGTGTTTTGACAACGCGAATTGGCTCTAACGCGATTTATGAATAGAGGAACGATATTTGTATAACGCGAACGCTTGTTTGCTGTAACGCGATTTTTGCTTACTATTTCTCCAATTTTGTGGTATTAACTGTGAATATGGTAAAGAAGAATATCTCCAAGAAGCGTTCTGTTGATCGCATTCCCGGTGATGATCGTAAAAGAAAGGCTATAACACTTGAAGAAAAGCTCGATGTTATCAACCTCAAAATCACCCTTCTCCCTCATCAAGTTATATTCATATTTCTTCACGGTAAAGTGTTACATTTACTGTATGATTTCATTATTAGATATGAATGTAACATTTATTTAGACTGTGCTAACCTTTGTGTTAGGCTAACTACTAAAATTTTTTCGATTTCAAGTAGTAATCTGCACCTAACCCTATTTTCTCCATAAGTCCTGTTATTTCTATTACGCGAATTTCTATAACAAAATGTTTTACAAGAACACAACTATCACGTTATAGCAGAACTGACTGTATCCCATTGAAATAAAAGATTCAGTTAATGAAATTTTCGGTTAACAACCGACTCTGTGAAACCAGTTGTGTTCGTTAATCGAGGGACCATTGTACATGTATATACAATGCTAATCATTCCTATATTCAACAATATTGAACTTAAAATTGTTTTATAACAGATACAATACTGTACCTGTAAATTAATATGAAGAAAAAATCTGAAAGCACTTTAATAAGACAAAATTACATGTTTCATTTTGACTACAGACACCAGAGATGTACTTTTATAGAGGTATAAATCCTATTACAGGTATGGTAATAACTGGTGACACACAGTCTTTTATAGGGTATACTGTACTTTTATCCCATTAAACTGTGCTTACTTCTTATCAAGGAAATTCTGTGCAATTCTTTTCAGTTAATATTCCAGTGTTAAATCTTTGCTAACATTAACAGGTACTGTACAGTAAAACTAATGTGTATCTAATATTAACAGGGTCTGCTAAGACTGAAGTACATCTTGAATGTTCATTACATAAACATTTAAGCACATGACTAGCATCCCATACACTATTAGCAGCTGAATACAGAACAGCATTAGAATGGGATTATTCATATACAGTGCTCACAGTTTTCTGTTTTTCTCCTTCTAAGGAAACAAATATACACAGAGATTTATGGAAAAATTTTCAAGAATTGCAACTGGGTTCTTTAATGTTGAATGTCTGAAGCTGTAGAGAAAGTATTGGGAATATCATATACCGTACAGCAAGAAGAAAATAAATAAATAATAAATAATTTGTTTGCTCTAGCCTTCTAATTGACATAATTTATTTTGACATCACATAACCTCCTACTAAGTTGCTGCAATTTTCATCTAAATGACCTGATGAATAATTGTACATTAATGTACTGTATATACCAATAACTGATGCTTCCACTAAAAGGTCATTATATACAATAGTACTATACAGTAGTATTTAGTAATATATATTGCAGTCATTCACAATAACAACCTGTCTATAGACTTAATAAACTTTAAGTGAAATGCCTGATGCAATTACTTCCCTCAACGTAAGCTGATTTATAATGAATACTCTATACACCTTATCATCTTTTCTACAATTAAACTTTTTTCCATTACACTAAACTCTACTTTTTTATATTAAGGTTACTGCACCTACCTCAAACCATTTTATTTGGATAGCAATATGACTGACTTATAATTAGATTCATCAAGACCAACTCTTAAAAACTTAGACATTATCTAGAGAGCTTTGTCCATAACTAATAATCCAAGGCAAATTTTTATGTAGCAGCTGATATCCCTGTACAGTACATTAATGCTGTCCTTTTTAATACTAGGATTTATACACCTCTTCTAATTTGAAATTCCATTACAAAAATATTAACAACTTGGAACAGTGTGCCAATACCAGGGTGCTCGTTAAAGGTTTAATAATACTATAGAGGTAACAATGGAATAAGCGTACAGTCCAACCAATTACATGTGTTAGAGAAATACTGTCAAAGTATGTATTAGTTGAAATGGCATGAAATATTAGCCCAATACAGTACAACATTTCTGATTGACTAGTTGATCCTGTCACACATAAGCCAATTAATGAAGGTGAAATTCATAGCCATGAGCAGTACATATGCCTATCATTTTCCATAAATTCTATCTACTAACTGATCACTGAGATGCAACAACTATCAAGAATGAGATCTGCAACTGTGACTGGTGTCTTAGGGAAATTGCTATTGTCTCCCCTACCTCCTATTTATCTAATGACTTGCTAGTACGTCTGGGTGACCAGAATGACATTTCAGGGTTAATTACGTACAGTATATCTAAATCTCATATTGGCAAATCTGTCCATCAAGTTTGAATATATTTTTTAACTTTAGTTTGAAGTGATATTTGGCACTATTCTTAAAGAAGAAAAAAAGAGAGATATATGCAATTCACATCAAATTAAAGATTCAATTACACACACTTGTCATAAGCAAAACAAACTACCACTAGTACACAAATAAAAGTGAAATAAGTGTAGCAAAAAAATAGAACTAATCAGTAACAGTTTGAGAAAACAGTCTAAAAATTATCTTGTGGGATCAGATACAAAAATGATATTAAAAATCCTCCATTTGAGATTACTAAAAGCTGGTAGAGTACTGTATCCTTCTCTACATCAAATATGAGAACATGATGAAATAGTTCAATATGTCCACAAAAAGTGACCATTATAAAACAGCCGAGATAATTGAAAAAAAAAAAGATGGGAATACAGTAAGCTTGAAAAATGGAAAATCCGGATGTGTGGACCTCTGTGTGATAGTATAGAGATATGTGGTAAAAAGGACTTCTCAGATTTTTTTAACACAAATACAATATGTTCTGCTGCTGTAAATACAGTACTGTTGGTACAGGAAGAAGTGAATGAAAGAATTACAGAGTACAGTAACTAGCCATAGAGTACATGTAATCTGTGTAGTGCACAAATCTGTTGAATATGACTATTTACAGAAGCAAAATATAATTTATATCATAATTTTGTACTTGTGTGGGTGGAGAATATATTATGTATTAGAACAAAGTGTATGTTAAATAAACAGATAAAACAGATGCAGAAAAAACCCTATTGGTAATGCTACCTAATGGTATAGAGTAAATAAAAGATTGATTACCGTATTTTACAGGATGATGCACTTTTTTGTCTGAAAAATGGCTAAAAAATAATACACCATCCTGCATACATATTGTGAAAAAAGTAAAAGAAATAATTGTCCTAAGGGCAAACACACAGAGGGAATATACATTTCTTTGCACACAAGTTCGGTGTCTACTGAGGGAGTGAGAGGAGGAGGGACTGGGGGGTTGCTGAAGAATCGGCGGAGGTAGCGTCTGCATTGCTATAGTGAACCAGGAAGTATATGCAAATGGCGACTGTGTTAAACTTTCATTTGGCTTTTATTTATTGATTTGGCAATACAGTATTTTTTTTTGGAACTTATTTATTGGTAATATTTTTATTTATTCCTCACATTTACTGGCACTGTATATAATATTTTAAGAAAACTATGGCTACAGGAGGAAAATCCACACAAAATGTTCATAAATACTCCCTGCTAAAATGGGGGGTGTGTCTTATAAGGCCGAGCATCTTATATGCTGTAAAATATGGTATGTTGCTCTGTGTTTCTAAAGTGTGTGAAAAGAAAATGTGAATCTAGATACTATAATGTGAGTGGACAAATGGGGAGTACAGCTAAATCTCTCTTTAAGTTGTTGCATGTACAGGAGGTAGGTGATGCTATTTTTTTACAAGTCAAAAAATTAATTTGCCAAAACTTGAATACTACTTTGGAAATATATGAAAGAGGAAAGTACTCACAGTAGAAACTTAAACACCAGTTAAGTACCATTACCTGTACTTTATATGGTGTAAAACTAAAGTTGCTAAGTGAATTTTGAAGATGATTGTGAAACTGGAGAAGTGAAGATATCATTTGTGAAAAGTGCAAGAAGCTCAAACAGTGTTCTAAAAATCTAAGATAAAAGAATGAAGGTAATGCATGTTTGTAGCTATATGAAAAAGAAAAAAAGAGGAGACAGGATTGATATAAAGAATCAAAAGTAAAGTAAAAATCTTGTTTCCCATAAAATTTCCATGAATCAATCAATGTTTGCATATGGTTACTAAAAAAAATCATATCCAAACACAGTATTCTTCTTCTAAGTCATTAAAACAATTATCTATCAATGCTCTTGTTTCTTACAGATTTGTTTAGTTATCCTCCATGCTCTTACTTATCATGTCTTGGTTTAATCCATTCCAGATACTGAACACTTGTCAATGAATATTCTTGAAGCAGCCCACATTAAAAAAAAATTGTGGGTGGAGCTCAATGTCCCAACATTTCAGCTTCAATTTCTTCTATTTCTAAATGGACAAAAATAGGCCTCCCTCATTGAAGACTATTAAATGTTATCTATAGAACATAATTTAGTGATGTCTTGGTAATTTTCTACAGGCATTATTAAACTGACATACAGAAGAGTATCACAAGTCATAGGATGTTTGATTAACCTGACATTTATTAGCAAATTCCCACTGTCATCAAATGGCTTCTTCCCCAGTAAGATACATTTGTTCAGTCTAAGGCCTCACAACGAAAGTGATCAACTTTTGAAAACATCAGGACATTAATAATATTTTAAAGTAAAAACATAAGATTTAGATCTTGTGGATAGTGACTGAAGACTACTAGGTCTGTACTATCATAACCATTACTCATTACCATACCCCATATTATGAAGTACATAATAATAAAGTATGTAATTATATGTAAGACTATCTACATTTTCATATGATTTACTTAAGAGCTGGATCAATATTGTCAACAGACTACAGTTATGCATTGTTAGACCAAAATCTAAGCCAACAAAATAAGAAATTAGTATTCCAATTGGTAGTTAAGAACAGTGAATTCAATTGGCTACTGATGAGGAATAACATTACCCAAAAGATGACAGTTTTGAGGATTCTTGCTGTTGCTTATGACACATCATCCAAGAGCAGAGTGGTGTGGCTAGAATAAAGAATGTTAAAAATAATTAATAATTAATTGCTTCCAACACTGAAACTGAGGAAAATAAAAACAAAAGAATTAAAAACACAAATCATAGAAAAATTATTTGAATAATAACTGATTCAAAATCATTTCTTATGAAGCTTGAAAATGTATGGCAGTAAAAATCTTATATTCAGAGATAAAAAAAAGTGAAGTTTACCACTTCTTCCCTCCCACAAGCATCCACACAATAACTCCACCAAAAATGTAAGTAATACTACACTGAAACATAATTACTGTACATACTTGTTCTTGGAAATAAAGTCCTTAGGATCTACCATCCCAGAACAGCATCATTTACAATGTGGGCCCATCAAAGCTATCATTAGAAGGTGCTTGGAGAAAAACCAATGCCTCCAAAAATGCTATCACAGCTACTTTTATCTTTTCATATAGTTAACAAATGTAGTTTTTTAAATTTCATCTTAGCTGTTGTTTTATTCTGTCCTCAAACACAAAAGCCTATTAATTTCATGAATGTCAAATAACTGAGGAACCATCTACATGTTCTTTCATTTTTTGATGGAGTTATGACTACTGTATGTATATGTTGTAGCATAATCAAAAGAAACAGGTACTGTCATAGGAACATAATGGGGAAGAAACAGTCTAGTATCACTGATGCTGAAATATAGCTATTTCAAAGTGTGACAGTTTTGCTTATAAACCAGAAACTTATGTTAGAACATCTAATAGTAGTGGCTTCTACTACAGGTTGAACCCCTCTATTCTGGCACCTGTGGTCTGGCAACTTCTGTGGTCCTGCATGATTTGTAACTAGCTGTTCTGGCAAGGTTTGGATTGGGGCAGCAAGTGATGGAAGTGCTGGTACTGTAATGCTACATATGCCTCACACAAGGTACACACATTAATATTCCTCCAAGAACATAAATCACTTGTTTTCAATACAAACCCACCAGATACAGTACTGTACTGTATTAAGATATTCATATATAAACCTCACTTGTTTGTGGGTTTGTCTTTGAGGTGGATAGATAATTTCATGTAATTTTTTAGGGGAAAAGGGTAATTTTTTTGTTGCCAAGAACGCATCTTCAATTTACAAAATGGACGATTCTACTTACGATGGTAAATGGTGGACACTTCCCCATTATAATTTTGGGCTTTATTGTAACTATTTCACTGACCTATACTGCACAGTACAGTAGTTCTATTTCATGTATCGGTAGAGCAGAGGAATTTTTCATTTAACAGAAATTTTGGTCTAACACTAGTCAGGTCCCAAGTTTGCCAGATTAGAAGGGTATGACCTATATTTGAAATTGCAAGCTTCAACGAAAGAAAAGATTGATTACTGATACTATTTCAGATAATCTCAACTACAGAAAATAGCACATTCACATACACTGCCATCACTCATACACAACCACACACCATCCTACTTAAAGTACTCTCACAAATTACCAAACTCCACACCGAGAATCCCTTCTATTTCCTTTCCTACATTCGTCATACTGCTCCTCATTACCTTATTGTATTGTGGTTATTTTGCATTTCCTTTTATACATTTTAGAATATATATATATATATATATATATATATATATATATATATATATATATATATATATATATATATATATATATATATATATATATATATATATATATATATATATATATATATATATATATATATATATATATATATATATATATATATATATATATATATATATATATATATATATATATATATATATATATATATATATATATATATATATATATATATATATATATATATATATATATATATATATATATATATATATATATATATATACAGTTAACCCTCACTGTTAATGTAACCGGAGGGTTGAGAAGCGTGAATAACATAACATATGGGATTAATTGAAATTGAGTCCAGGCCGACCCCCAAACTCCACTTTTTGACGACACACAACTATGTTGTAGTAAAAATATTATCTTAACTTTATGATGGCATGCACACACAATTAATAATTAAGAGAAATATCAATAATATTAGGTTTTTTAACACTTACATTAGTAGAAAAGATGGCTGGGCACACGGGGATGGGCGGTTGGTTCCGAGGCAGAGGGCAGATTATTGGCCCTCACCTGTATCACTTGTATCACTATCCACCACAGAGGCTTGCAGGGCCTCTTTGTCAAACCCCCCAAAGTTCATATAAGTCCATATCCTCACTATAATTATCACTATCACTGACTTGGGCCGGCTGTAGTGGGTGGCGGGTGAAGAACTGGTAATGTTTTGATGACTGGGCGACCTTGTGCGCACCATTTTCGTGCCTCTTACACAACATGGCGGATGGCAGGAGGTTTGGATCCAAAAATGGCGCGGCTTGCCAGCCGCTCTCCGCGTAATGGGGTACACGCACCGCGTTAATGGTGAACCGCGGAATGCGGGACCGCGTAATGTGAGGGTTGACTGTATATACGATATATATATATATATTTATATATATTTATTTATATATATATATACATATATATATATATATATATATATATATATATATATATATATATATATATATATATATATATATATATATATATATATATATATATATATATATATATATATATATATATATATATAAAATATTGTTTTAATAAAGCAAGTTACAATTAGGTGAAGAGAGATATGGACTCCCAACTCTCCCAGCCCAGAGAGGTTAGAAGATATGTCACTATCTATGGTGGGTGCTTCTATTCCTCCTCTTGCAGCAAGCTTATAAGTGGTGAAAAAAAGTCCAAATTACTACAGAACTGTACTCTTTCAACCAATCCTTTTAAAATGCATCAATTCCCTAGGACTAAACTGTACCCCACTACAGGGGTATTCACTTACAACTTTCACATTCCTCTTGTTCAACACACCTGGCCTCATTAAACACAACCAACAATCCTATTGATTTAAAATCCATGCAACTCACCAATGAGTTATGCTGCTTAAAACTTTGCCAAATCTGATTTCTTATGGTTTTTCTTTAGTTTTTCTCGTTAAACTCCCACTCTTCAAGATGCTTTTTGGCATCTTGGCTTCCACTCCACAATCCCTACTATATTATCCAAAATTTCATATCTCTTGTTACTCCCTTCTTCCATCCACTGAAACATATTCCACACTCAAATTCTTTGAAAAGAGCCATTTTCAATCCTGAATTCCCAAATTCCATCAATAATTCCTGTTGATCTTGTGATTGTCTCTTCAGTACAGTATATTATTTGAAGATAGCTAGACATCCATTTTCCAATTCCTCTTGTACTTCACCATCATCCTAATGACAACAATGGTTGCCACAAACCTCTCATTATCCCAGCAATACATGAATTTAATAATCATAATATAATGTGGATCTATCGTTCAGTTGCTAGTGAGTATAACTTACAAGTAAATGGTCATGTATTCACTTCCATATCAGAATGTAAAATTGTGTTCCTCCTCCATTTCTTTATGCACTCAGCAGTGAGTACACAGTTGGATGTGCTTCTTGATGGTGAAACAAACCTTCAGTGAACTAGCCTTTTCCTAACTGGGTGGGATAGCTCAATAACTTATAAATGCTAAGAATCAGATCATTATCTTCCTTACTACCCTACACCATAGCAGTACAGTTCTAGAATTATGGCTGCACATATGCCCATATTGTACTGTATATCTCTTTCACAAATAATGCTTCCTAATGTGTTTTACTAACTACTGTAGTCTTCCCTTGCCTGTACCTGTACAATATTCACATCTATTACGCTTAACCTAATCTCTTCTGGAACAATCATAATGTATTTGTAAAGAATGAGAACTGTACAGAACAAAATGCTACCCTCATTAATATTTATCTATACACAACTTCTTACCCTTTACAACAACCATATATGCCTTCACCTGCAATACTCTTTCTCAAATGTGGACTATATTCCACAAATCTACTTATCACAGCAAGACAAAACAAAATTTAATTCTATTCCCATAATCAATGAACTGTCCCTCAATTTCTTTCATGTCAGATAATAAATTTCTTCACTCATTATTTTCTATTGCTGTTTCCATGATTATTATCCCAACTGTATCCAATATATCAGGTGCAACACACAGTCTACACCAAGCCACTAAAGCTCTCTAAGTTCCATTGAGTTGAACTTCATCTCATTCACTTCCTTTAACTTGCAGCTACTGAACTCCCTTCCCTTTCACACCATTCCATCAACAAACAGCTCTCAATATGCAGGACACATATTCATCTTTTACCACAAAAACAAACATATATTTTCATATTTCTTATTTACGGTGTACTTTACCAGGTAAGCCTAAATTGAATAGATTTTTATTTTTAGTAGTACTGCCCTGTTATGTGTAGAGTAGTTCCCACAGTCCATCACAATGTTTAGAAAAATACAAGTACTGTACTGATCCAACTGCACCCAATAGTAACATGCAAAAAAGTCACATACACAGGAGAAAAGAAGGAGAATTAACCTTAGCAACAAAACCAACCAAAGGCTTGAAGCATGAAGTTATAAACACTAAAAAGTTTAGTAAAATCCAAGATGCAAGTCATTCCAAACTACACATAAGAACTTAATGCCACTCCCTCCCCCATGCAACTCAGTAGTCTGAGAAATTAATTATGAATATTTTTTTTATCTACCAACATTACTTCAGTACTAACTCAACAAGGAAAAAAAAAATATATATATATATATATATATATATATATATATATATATATATATATATATATATATATATATATATATATATATATACATATATATATATATATATATATATATATATATATATATATATATATATATATATATATATATATATATATATATATATATATATATGCAATATTAAAATCACTGTAGAGTGCGTGTGATCAGGTATCAGCATATATATATATATATATATATATATATATATATATATATATATATATATATATATATATATATATATATATATATATATATATATATTTCATGTAAATCCACAATACAATGACAGATAAATCTTATAAAATCACAAAAATACAAAGAGCACCTTGCTTTTGCTTTATTCAAGAATAAAGCTGGGTCCCCTTTTTATCAATATATATATATATATATATATATATATATATATATATATATATATATATATATATATATATATATATATATATATATATATATATATATATATATATATATATATATATATATATATATATATATATATATATATATATACAGTCATGTGCCAGTTAACGTCCTAGATACGTTCTTGGAAACGTGACGTTAACCGAAATGGACGTTGTCCGATCATCACATAAACTTTGTCTTTATACTTACGTGTATGTGGAATACTATACACGTACATATACACTCTTACTCTTAAATCACTACTGTAATGTGATACAAGTGATTAACTTTTATCTCTTATGTAAAATACATGACGTTTATATTAAAATTATTCACTGTCTTACAAGGATTCCAGCAATGCTGGGCAGATGGAGAGGGCGAGGCGAGCGGCGTGGGAGCCGGAGGTGAGGTGGTACGTTTGACGGTTGGCACCGGCCCAAGGTCTAACGCGTGTTTATTTATCAATTCTTAAGTGACTAAGCTTCTCTCTCATAAAAAACCAGTGAAATGACCTGGGTGACTATAATTTACACTGCTGGGATTCTTGTAAGATGGTGATTATTTTAAATATAAACAAGCTATAATTTGCACTAGACATAACAATTTTAGTAACGTAATCAAATTAGTACATGTGCACTCCAGCTTTGCACTAAGGTCATTTATTTCTTTTACGTTTCTTTTAGTATGGTGTGTGCATGTAAATGGATAAAAATAAATGAAGACATTTATGAAAATCTACCCAAAAATACAGTTGAAAAACTTTATATTAAAAATGTACACTAATATACGACAATTTTTATCTCTTGAGCAAAATATATGACGTTTATATTCAAATTAATCTCTGTCGTGCAAGGATTTCAGCAATGCAAATTATAGTCTCCTATAGTCTGAGATATTATATGAAAAACTTAAGGCCTAAAACCCCCCACGCATGGGAGCGTGGGGGGGAGGGGAGAGGGAGGTGAGGCGAGGCGATATGATTTGACAGTTGGCGCTGAAGGCCTGCGTGTTCCTTAAGAGTGGCTAAGCTCTTCTCATAATTTGCCACCCAAACGACCTGGGTGAATATAACTTACATTGCTGGGATTCTTGTAAGATAGTGATTTATTTGAATACCAGTACGTATAAACAAGCTATATTTGCAATAGACATACCAATTTTAGTACCATAATCATTTAGTACATGTACAGTACAGGTTTGCACTTAGGTCCATTGTTAACCGAGGGACCACTGTATTGCAGTGTACTTGTACTGTACAATATTGACTAAATTCACTAGATAACATACACAACTAATGGTTGGTAAAACTTGTCAAGTAAGTGAGTGTCAAGTCTGTCAGTATTAGTGGCACGTGTGAGTGCTTGTGTCCCCCATCATAGGAGTCCGTTTTTTTTCGCTTCAGGACTCCTGAGTCCTCCGTTTCCCTCTTAATCTTAGAGTGCACCAGAGACTTCGTTATTCCTTAGTAATGACACAGAATTTGAAATTGCAACTGGGGTTGCAATTGTTGAGGCAACTAGATATGTCTGATTACAGCAAATGTGTTATTGTCAATTTGTAGGTGAAAGATTTTATCCTCAATAGATGTAGGTTAACATTACACCTGGAGGCAAATGCTTAAAAAAAGCCTAAGTAAGGAAGCATATTCTTTTAACACATAATATCTGACCAGTATGGGGAGGATCATCGTGTCTCCGTCAGGGGGTCGTGGAGTGCTGGTCCAGCAGGCGTCACTTTTTTGGGGGGGGGCCATGGACGTATATGCGATCGGACGTTGTTCGGTTGGACGTTAACCGGCGCATGACTGTATATATATATATATATATATATATAATATATATATATATATATATATATATATATATATATATATATATATATATATATATATATATATATATATATATATATATATATATATATATATATATATATATATATATATATATAAAAGTTTTGCCACTTATCAGCTTACTAGCCATTTGGACAGTTGCCCTATCCAGTGGTAGTACAGGAGGAAACCTGTGATGCGCGTTTGGTAGGGTCACACTGGATAACACTCTTTTCGCATGTGTCTGGGCCGAAGCTCGAATCCTTGACATACATTGGTGATAGTTACGCATGTTACCACTGGACTTTAAGAAATAAAAAACTAACAGCACTAATATTGTGCAAAAAAACAAACAGTAATTTCAACTGTTGTTAATTTCAGCAAAATGACTGGCTTAATATGCAGAATAGAACTACCGGGTATATTCTTTTCCATAACTCTAACAACTAATGAGAATACTGATGATGAATGTGGCAATAAAAGTCCTGATGATGAATGTGGCAATAAAAGTCCTATCTCAGTGACAGAAAAGACCAAAAACTTAATTTCAAGAATGATTCTGTTAACAGAAACCTTTCATATTTAACATTTTCACACAAAACTGCTATACAAATTTGACATTTGGATGACTGTAGATGGAACAAATGAAATTAATATTAAGCCTTATTTCCTAACTTGCAAAAACAATATTGAAAAATATAGCAAAAATTCAATATTTTGTACAGTAATTCCTGAAAATACAAGAATTCCTTTTTGTTTAATGCCAAATGCAGCACCTTAAATTCAAACTGCTGAATATTGTAATTCATTAATACTGTATGTTGTGCTCTGCAGTATATATTTACTAAAATACTAGAAATAGTATGAAACTGAATACTTCTTGGAGGTTAAGCATAATTTTTCTGCACAGATGATGATCTGGCCCAATTCTTAGAGCATCACTAATGTATATGAAAAAAGACAATTTATTGATGGGCTTAATTACATGCACACTTATCATTTCATCAATGAATCATTATATGCATACTTTAAATCCTAGTACTGTACTGTACAATAGTATTAAAAATTTTATATCTAAGTTCAATTCACCTTGAAACTATTGTCTGATAATGTTCTGGAGTAAACTTGTCAGTCACCCTATTTGAGACCAAAACTAAACATTATCTTCAACAAAGGTGCCACCTGCCCAAGACATAAATGAACGTGCACAATATTGTAACCACTCTAGATGCCCCCTCCCCTCCCCCCCCCCTTTTTTTACTGTATTATACAACAAGAAAGACATATACTGTACAACTTCAGCAGTACAGTAGTCCCATAAAACTTTACATAGAGTTCAAACACAACTCCTGAGCCACACATGTAAAACACTGCATGGGCCTAAGGTATCTTTTTTAAAATCCTAAACAGCATTAAAGCAGAAATGCACATACGGTAATTAATATTCATTAATGCATTCATTAAAAAAAATATTAAAATTATAAATTGCAACACAAAAGCACAAACTTCCAAGTAAGCAAAGTTAAGAAAATGCCATCTCTGTCTTGAGTTAAATAAGCACATTTAAGCTGTAATAACTTTTAGATTTATATAATTCATTCACATGCTTCACACATTACAGCAACAACATACATGGAGCTGGATACCATAAAAATTCTGTTGTGGACAGTGAAGCTAGTTCCAGGGTTAGCTTTTATAAAATTAGGTGTTAATCTGTTTAAAGTACTGTGATAAGGGGGCTTAAAGTCAGATGATAGTATGGTGCATAAGTTTGTCAAACCAAGTTTCAAGAAATATATACTGTGAGTGTTCACTCAATATTAAGAAGCCGTTATAAAACTTCTGCAAAATTTTTACTTACTTACTGTGAATCTAATCTCCTGATAAGCACAATCTACTACATTTTGCTTTTATTGACTTAAATACTTTTTATTTCTTCAAATCATCTACACACTATGGCCAGTTAAAAGTTATCAGTTTTCTGGTACACCAATAATTGATCATTCAATAAAAACACAACAAACTCCTTAACATTGAATAAAGCCCTTTGGTTAGTACTGTAAATTCATGACTAGTATACCAGAAAACGGGTAAGTGCTCCAAGCAACTTAATCCTGATTAACTACACTCTAAGGAGATCATCATCACTATCATCAACCCTAAACACCCGAACAGAGGAGGTGGTTCCTAGAAGTGTTGAATTTTCAGACCCTGGCTGGCCAATATCTGTATACCCTCTGATTCCGAAGAGTCTTCGAGCTGAAGCCACCACACGTTGACCTCTTTCTGACTTGAAGAGGATTAAAACTGCCACAAAAACTGTGCCTGAGACGACAAGTAAACTGGCAACAACAGCAGTCAGAGCAGAGTATGGCTTGTCAACTTCACTCTTTTGTGGGACTGCTGCACCACTCTGGTTCTTGGAGCTGTTATCGGTGCCATCATTGATGGATGGTTTCTCTGTCACATCAGGTACATTTTCATCATTTCCAGTACCATAGATGCCTTCAATGCATGTAACATTAGTTTTCCACCGGAATATAGCTACACAGTGTATGATTTCCATGAATCTATCAGCTACTGGGTGACCAAACCCAGCATTCATGTCACATTCAAAGTATATGGAAGTTGTCTTAAAACCAGAGAGTGCTTCATTGCAAGGACTACCTCCATAATAAGTGAGTTTAAGCTGATCATAATCCCATTTCAGTTCTGATTTATTACTTAGCCCATAATTGTCCCCATCAGATGTACAAACACCTTGGGATTGGTTACAGGCAGGACCACATACATTGATTTTATATATTTTGTTTCCAAAATTAACTGTATAGCCTTCTGATTGCCTTAGGGGTTTCAAATCAACATTTGTTTTTGCAGCATCATACTTGATTTGACACACGGGACCTGGATCTGGTGCAATATGGGAATCTTCACAAACAAGTGATGTACTCCACTCAAACAGGTATTGGCAATCATGAGTCATCTTCTTGAACACTGGGTTACCCTGTAAAGATAAACAAAAATTCTACAGTCCAAATCATATTGATTTATCATTAAAAATTAAATTCACCCAAAAGGTACTAATAGTTGAGAATTTGAACACTATAATAAAATGTGGCTTGAATATGTCATGTAAACACTAATTTGAGTAAAGTAATAAATTTTCAAGTCAATGTACACCCATTAAAAAATTATTTGGCACCCTTATGGCGTGATACAATTTGACACGGGTACCGAATAATTTTTTAGTGGGTGTACATAAGATGACCAGATCTCCTGGATGTACAATAAATGAGGGACATCTCAAGAATAGAAATAATAATAATACAGTGGAGTCTGGATTTACGCGGTTTTGGTTAACGCGTTTGGTCATTTACGCGGTGCCTTGCCAGAATCGAAATGCTTTAATTACGCAGTAAATTTGGTCATTTATGCAGGAGAAGTATAATTTGTTTACTGTATTTACTGAAGATATTTGTTTTAGCTCATAAAATTCATACAAATTACCCGGCCAGAATATAATTTACATTGCTGGAATTCTTATAAGATTGTGATTATTTTGAATATAAACATCATAAAATTTGCATTAGACATACAAATTCTAGATCTAATTTAAGAATTTTGACTAGAAAGAGCAAAAATTTTATCTTTTGTGCAAGATACATGACGTTTATATTCAAATATTCCTTGTCTTGCAAGGAATCCAGCAATGTCAATTATATTATCCTAACTTTAGTCTGAGGTATTATTTATTACTATACCTTAAAATCTCGTGTTTTCACCCAAACATTTCTCAGAGAGGGAAGAGCCAGCGAGCGTGGGAAGAGGGGGGATCGGGGGAGTTGAGTCCATTATTTGAAAGGACATTAAACTGGCGACTGTATTTCTTTTAAATATTAATTATGTGTGCATACCATCATAAAATTAAGATGTTATTTTTACTACAACGTAGGTATTGTGTCGGAAAAAGTGGAGTTTAGGAGTCGGCCCAGTCTCTATTTCAATTAATCCCATATGTTCTGTTATTCCATTTACGTGTTTCTCGTTTTACGCGCTACTCCGCGGGTTCAATTGACCGCGTAAATCGGGGTATTACTGTAACTAAATATTTTCAGCCTTCCGGCTGCCATGCTTTATCAATAAAGCGTTTATTATTATTATTATTATCATTACAACTCCACCATTCAATCATAACCTGTAACAATGGAAATATTCAAATGAATAACAAATTAAATATTTTAGACAAATTGTATGATTTAGAAAGAAAACATCTCTCCCATCAGCATAGGAACGTTCACAATTCAACTGTTTGCACGAGGCCAGTGGCGGTCATCATGGATGCCATCTTTAATTATGGAAATTCCTCAAAGAGTTTTGTGGTGTAATTTGGATATGGTACTAAGAGCACAATTCGGTATCATTGCTGAAAATTTCAGCTTTGGACGAATTATTTCCATTTCAAATCTAATGATCCTGGACTATAAGGTCTACAGCGCATGCTTTTTCCACTTGTTTTTTCCATCATTGTCCAGTGTTTCATCATTGCCCAGTGTTTGAGCCATTATGTCTGATAACCCTAAATCTGGTACTGTATACTGTACTTAGAAACGTTTAAATTTTGATTGGGGCAAATAACGGAAAAGTACCGTTGTTCTGTTTGTTTCCCCCCGAAAAGTGTCCCCAATAATTCGTAAGGACTAGAGCCCCTATTATTTAGAATTAAGGGAGTTTTACTGTATCATAAGGTAAAAAACATAGAATAAAAATTTCTTTGTGTATAAAAGCGGGAGAGGGAGTGCTGTGGGTCAGCATAGGTGACCAGGCGGTTGCTATGGCAAGCTTAAGGGCACCCATGCATGAAGAAACTAGCGTCTTTGCAAATGTCACTGCCAATAGCTGTGTTAACGTTGATTTAGCTTTATCCTTAATAGTTTTAGCTGCATATTTTCATCTAGATAGTAAGTTATTAATGTTTTTAATGTGCTAGGTAGTAAATGATAGTAGCTCTGTATTATTTATCATTAATTAGGTAGGTTCTTTCTTGTTTGTGAACTTATTTCATGTTTCTGGGGTATGATAATGGGGTATTTTTGTCATTGAGGAACCATACTTTATTTTTTCTATGTGATTTTCTATTCGAGATTAGAAAAATCACCAAATGAGCATTTTTTTTTTACCTAACACATTCGTATCTTGAGGGATACCTGTACTTTATTGTATGATCAATTTCTTCATATTCTTTACTCTGTTATATGCTCACTCATTTTTATACTGTACAGCATAGAGAAAGTAAAAATAAGTTAACAGAGAATATAAATCAGTTTCTTTAAAGGCATAATTTTGAGTAATTTCACAAAATTTTCTTATTTTATTTTTTACTCAATTACATGCACAAAAAAATTCTACACAAAGTGACCCCCCAGAAATATACCTAAGAAATAATTATCATAAGGTATAAAATTTTATGTATCTACAGATGAAAAGGAATTATTATACAGTATACAGTACAGGTTGTGCCTCTCTAGTCAGGCAACCTCGGGACCTGACCGGTGCCGGACCATGGAAATTCACCCTTTTCCTGGATAGATAGTGACTTGTGCTTATGCTTGGAAGCACTAGCACCACTTTCTCTGTATCATGGTCTCTTTGAAGACATATTGAAGGGTTAAATGTCGTATAGTAGCTTCTCAAATGTCGCGAGTTTTTAATTCAACGTATTTTATTGGAACACACAAAAAAAAAAAAAATAAATACAAATTTTGACGGCGGAAACTTGAATTTCGACGGGTTTGAACGGCTCACCAACATGCAGACGACGTGCATGATCGTGCAAACAGCGTCATTTCTCTTATGTACAAAAGATTCATTATTGTTTATTACTGAATGTCTTTTTTATTGAATTAATGTTTATGTGTGCAAAATGAGCAATACAATTCATTAATAATACGTAGAATATTAAAACACACGAGGAAATGACACAGCATTGCTTTCGTTGATTACAAAACCAGTGACTGACTGGTTCTACATATAAAACTGAAGAAAATAAGACCTTGGTTGTAGCTGTAGTAAAATTAATATGGTTGTTTTAAGGAATGTTATTTAATGTTAATAAATGGAACAATGGAAGTAGCTAACGATAATGGTAAAGAAAAAAGAGAGATCGCGTATGTAAGTGCGCACACGTGAAAGCATATCGTCATTACTTTACATAAGAATATGAAAGCAACACTTTTTTACTGTTCATATATATTTTAATTAATGTTTCTGAATTTGTTTTTATTGAATTAATGTTTGTGTGTGCAAAATTAACAATACAATTTATTAATAATGAGGAGACGAGACGGCTGCCGGCATTGTTTATGTTAAAGCTTACAAAACCAGTGACTGATTGGTTCTACTGTACATATAAAACTGAAGAAAATAAGACCCTGATTGTAGCTGTAGTAAAATTAATGTAAAAAAAATTAATATGGTTGTTTGAAGTACATGTAATGTTATTTAATGGAACAATGTAAGTAGCTAACCATTAATGGTATAATATTAAAAAAAAAAAAAAAAAAAACAATAACACAGCAGTAAGACTGCACGTACTACAGTAGAGAGAGAGAGAGAGAGAGAGAGAGAGAGAGAGAGAGAGAGAGAGAGAGAGAGAGAGAGAGAGAGAGAGAGAGAGAGAGAGAGAGAGAGAGAGAGAGAGAGAGAGAGAGAGAGAGAGAGAGAGAGAGAGAGAGAGAGAGAGAGAGAGAGAGAGAGAGAGAGAGAGAGAGAGAGAGAGAGAGAGAGAGAGAGAGAGAGAGAGAGAGAGAGAGAGAGAGAGAGAGAGAGAGAGGAGAGAGAGAGAGAGAGAGAGAGAGAGAGAGAGAGAGAGAGAGAGAGAGAGAGAGAGAGAGAGAGGGAGAGAGAGAGAGGGAGGAGAGAGGAGGAGAGAGAGAGGAGAGAGAGAGAGAGAGGAGAGAGAGAGAGAGAGAGGAGGGAGAGAGAGAGAGAGAGAGAGAGAGAGAGAGAGAGAGAGAGAGAGAGAGAGAGAGAGAGAGAGAGAGAGAGAGAGAGAGAGAGAGAGAGAGAGAGAGAGAGAGAGAGAGAGAGAGAGAGAGAGAGAGAGAGAGAGAGAGAGAGAGAGAGAGAGAGAGAGAGAGAGAGAGAGAGAGAGAGAGAGAGAGAGAGAGAGAGAGAGAGAGAGAGAGAGAGAGAGAGAGAGAGAGAGAGAGAGAGAGAGAGAGAGAGAGAGAGAGAGAGAGAGAGAGAGAGAGAGAGAGAGAGAGAGAGAGAGAGAGAGAGAGAGAGAGAGAGAGAGAGAGAGAGAGAGAGAGAGAGAGAGAGAGAGAGAGAGAGAGAGAGAGAGAGAGAGAGAGAGAGAGAGAGAGAGAGAGAGAGAGAGAGAGAGAGAGAGAGAGAGAGAGAGAGAGAGAGAGAGAGAGAGAGAGAGAGAGAGAGAGAGAGAGAGAGAGAGAGAGAGAGAGAGAGAGAGAGAGAGAGAGAGAGAGAGAGTAGAGAGAGAGAGAGAGAGAGAGAGAGAGAGAGAGAGAGAGAGAGAGAGAGAGAGAGAGAGAGAGAGAGAGAGAGAGCAAACTGCCGGACGTGAAACAAACCCCCATGCTTTGTTGTTGTTTTTTTTTACGGGGATTAGCCCACCAGGGCATAGGTCACCGACCCACATTGGGGCCTGAGGGGCAAAAATTTAATACTCCTGTAATAATAATAATAATTCAGATAAGTAAAAAAAAAATAAAATAAAAAAAATAAAAAAAGCTGCCTATCTACCTATTGGACAAACTAAAATCGTTCCGGACCACGGGAGTTTCCGGACCACAGAATGCCGGACTAATGAGGTACAACCTGTACCTTCATATGTCTATACAGCAACTGTCTACAACACATATCACCATTTTAGAGTCTATGGTTGAGATAGGAGAAATTATTTCTGGGTTATAAAATATTGTATAAAGTACTGTAGTCCCAATTATACAAGTTAAGATTCCTGGGAACTCTGGTAAAGCAATTCAACTTGTAGAGGTGATGATGCAATGCACGGGTTACTGTATCTGATCCAGTGCTGGAATTATAAAAATTAGACGAGGTGCAGATAAAGAAAGAAGGACTATACAGTACTATTTGTGCGAGGGTCACCAGTCTGGCCGAAGTAACTAAGGTTTATGATGTAAGATTCTTCACATGCCAAACTACTGGATAGCTTGGAAAAGGATTTTCATATGAAGGTATATACAGTACTGCTGAGCAGCTTTCTCTACATAATATATAAAATATTTTGCAAAAGTCTACCAAACATTTCAAACATTCCTGCTACTTCTGTGACACAAGCATCAGCTAAAGTACAAAGTTTCTGAATGTTACTTCACTTTGAATATGATACCTAATAAAGTAGTATAAAATACAGTTAATGTTAATAACTTAAGCAGAGAAAAAAGACACATACCTTGCCAGCAGATAGATTACAGATGAATTCAATTCGTGATGAAATACTGTAGTCTGGTTTGGAAGTACAACTGGACCCATGTATGTAAATAATTTGTACACTATCAGTTTCATACATATATGTTGGTGTCACAAGTGGATGACCAAGACCCAAAGGTCCGGTTTCTATGCTTGGAGTAGACAGGCAAGCAGCAGTACCTGGCTGACAGTTGAGTCCAATGATAGGGTTGAGTGGTCTACATACATTCATGTAAAATTTTTCTTTGGAATTCTCTGGGTTTAAAGTTTCATAATTGCCTGTTGCCCTAATGAGTGGGGTGAGATCAATACGGTGCTTTGCAGTGTCAACAAAGCAGTTAATCCTTCTTTCACAGGCTAGATCTGTGTACCAATTAACAAAATATGTGCATAAATCCAAGTCATCATGTACCAACACCGGACCCTTCATGGCATTCTCAGCCCCACAAATGAAGCTGATGATGGTAGAACGCTTTACAGTATTATTACATTGATCTCCCCCAGTGTAGGAAAGGAAAAGAAAACCAGGACGGAATTGGAGATGAGCATTTGCATTGCCTGCATTAATGATGCTGGTATTATCATTATGCATATAGCTACATGCTGCTGTACCCTCCATTGGACATTTTTCCTTGCTGACTTTAGCACAAACATTCAAGGTGAGGTGAAGCCCATTCTCATTATGTACTTCATACCCAGTTTCATTCTTTAAAGGATTTAGATTAAAGACATAATCAGTGATTGAACTAGAAACTGTGCAATTTTTTCCAATGCTTGATGGTGTGGTACTGGTACTACTTTCAAAAGATACTGGGCATGCTAGGGGGGTTTTCCATTCAAAGAAGTATGTACAGTCCTCTTCACCAATAAGTTGAGGGTAAGGATAAAGTTCATGTTTGTCACACATGAACTCAATAATTGTTTCATATGGCTTCGATTTCTTTTCACAGATTTCACCATCTGTATATTTCAATTTCAATATGCCATTTTCTAAATATGGACCACTGTGAACTTCACCAATATTCAGGGATTCATTCTCATGTTTAAGATCAACAATACAGGATGCTGCAGTATAAGGACATCTGCTAGTTCTGCTGTGCACTACTGATCTGCACACATTTAGTACAAACTTCTTTGAGCCATCAGTGATAAAATATTCTTCATTCATTTTGGTTGATGACAGTTCACTGAGATCATAAACCATTCCATTATCTGTTACCCTGCAATCCACAACTCGGAAAGGTGGGCAAGCATATATGGTTCTCCAAAAAAAATGATAAATACAATTTTCTCCTTCATGCAGAAAATGAGGGCCATCACTGCCGCTCTCTTCTTGATCACACAAGAAGAGTATTTGTGAGGACCTAGTGTTATCATCTCCACAGCCTCCAGATCCATTGTTGAAATTCATTATAAGCATGGCTTTATTGAAGGTTACATTCGAAGTTGCTAATCCACCACTATATTCATCACTTCCTTTAACCTGGCATACTCCTGACTTTCCTTTCTCTCCTGTGCATGGTGACACTAGTGGTCCACACAAATTTATCAAGTAATCATTTTCTCCATCTGAGATCTTGTAGTCTTTCTCGGAATTCCTTAATGGGTTCAAATCATACTGGTACTTATATAATGGATCCACCACTTTGCAAGAACTTCCAATTGCCATATGGCGAGGGCACGCAACAGGTGTCAACCAATTAAACACATATTCACATGTTTCAGTTTCCTCCAAAAACATGGGGTGATGTTCAACTGCATTACAGACCAGGTTGATTCGAGTTGAGCGAGTATGTTGTCCGTCCTGACAAGTGTCACCACCTGTTGATTAAACACAACATTATAATTTAAATATATATAATCACTAAAGTTAAATATGTATGGTAGGAGTTAAACTGCAGTGTTGAGCATATTAATACATTAGTCATTTGACTCACGACTGTTCATGTTTTGAAATTTAAATAAATAATACTAAACACAATCATTTATTGTCCAATAACTTTAAGAAGTATAGTACATCCAGTGCCAGATTAAGCCTTGGCAGGGTAGGAGGCAAAGCACATTTTTGGGCCAGTTTCAACATAAGTGCCACTGGAGCCCAAGTTATCTAAGGTTGACTAAAGAATCTCTCGTCTCTCTGGCTAATTTAGATTTAGAGTTGAAAGAATTACATTAATAAAATACTTTATTTTTAATTTCTCACACACCTTCACAGCAGCCTTACAGACAAACAGCACCACAGCAGCCTTGCAGACCAACAGCACCACAGCAGCCTTACAGACATACAGCACCACAGCAGCCTTACAGACAAACAGCACCACAGCAGCCTTACAGACATACAGCACCACAGCAGCCTTACAGACATACAGCACCACAGCAGCCTTACGAATAAACCTTTTGGCCTTACAGACATACAGCACCACAGCAGCCTTACAGACGACAACACCACAACATTGCCCGCAGCAACAGCACCACAGCAGCCTTACAGACATACAACACCACAGCAGCCCTTACAGACCGCAAACAGCACCACAGCAACCTTACAGACAAACAGCAGCACCACAGCAACCTTGCAGACCAAACCACAGCAGCCTTACACAGACATACAGCACCACAGCAGCCTTACAGACAAGCAACACCACAGCAGCCTTGCAGACAACAACACCACAGCAGCCTTACAGACATACCTTTGTAGCCTTACAGACAAACAGCACCACAACAGCCTTGCAGACAACAGCACCACAGCAGCCTTACAGACATACAGCAGCCTTACAGACATACAGCAGCACCACAGCAGCCTTACAGACATACAGCACCACAGCAGCCTTACAGACATACAGCACACAGCAGCCTTACAGATATACAGCACCACAGCAGCCTTACACAGACGCATACAGCACACCACAGCAGCCCCTTACAGATATACAGCACCACAGCAACCTTACAACAGACATACAGCACCACAGCAACTTACAGACATACAGCAGCCCATACAGACATACCCAGCACACAACAGCCATACAGACATACAGCACCACAGCAGCCTTATGACATACAGCACCACAGCAGCCTTACAGACATACAGCACCACAGCAGCCTTACAGACATACCTTTACAGCAGCCTTACAGAACCACAGCAGCCTTACAGATATACAGTACCACAGCAGCCCTTACAGACATACAGCACCACAGCAGCCTTACAGACACAGCACCACAGCAGCCTTACAGACATACAGCACCACAGCAGCCTTACAGACGCACAGCACCACAGCAGCCTTACAGACATACAGCACCACAGCAGCCTTACAGCACCACAGCAGCCTTACAGACATACAGCACCACAGCAGCCTTACAGACATACAGCACCACAGCAGCCTTACAGACATGCAGCACCACAGCAGCCTTACAGCACCACAGCAGCCTTACAGACATACAGCACCACAGCAGCCTTACAGCACCACAGCAGCCTTACAGACATACAGCACCACAGGAGCTTTACAGACATTTTCCAGGACTGCAGGACAAAGGCTGTGCCATGTGGCAAGGCAGTATCAGAGAATACAATGGCTGAATATTCACAAATCTTTCATGTCATTTCCTCCACAAAAGAAAAACAGTTAGATCAGAAGCAGACAGTCACACCCGGAAAATGCTGCGAGTACCAGTGAACAATTTGTCATAGAAAGTGAGCCTCAAGATGTTGTGAGTGCCAGTGGGGAGTCTCTACGGGCAAGTTTATCCAACTTCCAGTCTGTGACCCCAGACTTGCCTCGAGATATTCAAATGTAACTCAGATGTATATAGTACTGTAGAGTACAGTAACTGAAGAGTAACTACTGTAGATAAAGAAAAATAATTGAAGTGTAAAATAAGAATTTTTTACTGTACCCTGTACAGTACTGTAGTTTGTCAGGAAAGTTACATCTGGGGGGTCAGCATCACAACAACTCTTCACCACAAAATGACAATTAACAATTAAATCAAATACAATGGTACTCTTATATTTACATATACAGTGTATATTATTTTTCATTTAACTGTACAGTATCAAACATCAAAACACTCATCCTTGTAAAAATAATTTTTTTAATTGTTAAGGGAAATTGTAAAAATTACAGAAATGTGTGGTAATTTCAATAGATTTGGATAATTCAATACAGTGGTCCATCGGTTAACGAACGGTTCAATTAACAAAATTTCAGTTAACGAATTAGCTTCCATAAGGATTTTCAGTTCGATTTACGAAATCCTTACGAGAAACACGTTTTGTTGAGCGCATCAGCTGATCGGCTATTCCGCCAATACAGTAATCTGTTCTATGTTTGCAATCGTTTCCAGTGGAGTAAATATCAAGGAGGTTGTGCTCTTTAATATTTTTGCATTTTTTATATAAAAATCATTGGTAATTCTAAAATTTTGTTAACATATTGATATTATATACAGTACAGGGAACAGTTTTTGTGTGCCCATCAACTGATTGAATCACCCACCAACGCTTCTCAGTTAAATTTTGTTTACAGTGGAGTGAACATCGAATTTTTACAATAAAATTTTACAATAAAATTATTGGTCATTCTGAAATTTAGTTAACATATTGATAATATACAGTGCGGAAATTATTATGAAACATGAAGAAGGCATTAGAACCAACGCACTCTGTAAATAATGTAACATGTCATCATCGACTGCCTCTACAATCAGCTGTGTGATATGTAAACAAAGCTGCCGGAAATACGACATACACACCTCAAAGTAAGTTAAAATACAGTATTCTATTGGTTTTTATTTATTATTGTACAGTATACTGTACAGTACAGTACAATACTGTATTTAGTTTATATTTAATGTTTTGTTAATTCTATTACCAGTGGTGGGCACAGCTAAACGAAAAGTTAGCTTCACTAACCGCTAATCTGCTAACTAAAAAGTTAACTTCGCTAACGCTAAACAGCTAAAAAAATTAGCGGAAGCTAACACTAACCGCTAACTTTTATTACAGTACAGTCAACCCTCACATTACGCGGTCCCGCATTCCGCGGTTCACCGTTAACGCGGTGCCTTGCCAGAACCTCACGTGCTCACATTACGCGGTACGTGAGCCCCATTACGCGGAGAGTGTCCGGCGCGACGCTATTTTTAGATTTGCCCCACACGCCACCCACCCGCCCGCCTGCCTGCCTCTCCCTCGTCCTCCCTCCGCTTGGGCAAGCGGCGCGGTAAGGTTGCGCAGTGTGTGTCTTTGTTGCGTTATCACTGACGTCATATGACGTATCAGACCTGTGATTGGCCATGCATCCCTACCCCCCTCTGCTGCTAGCTGTAATTGGCTAAAAGTATTATGACGTTTCCACCCGGGGGAGGGAGGGAGGGAGGAGAGACGACGCTTGACCTAGCCGCGGCAGTTTCATCCCTCCAGGCCACTCCGTGTAAACGCGCATCCATTGTTCCGTAAAATGGCTTCCGCCGGACCACCACCCCCAGAGAGAAACCTTTCCTTACCTGGACCCAGCGGCACTAAACCAAAGAAGACACGACGTTCCTTAAGCTACGAGGTGAAGTATAGCATCATCCAAGAGTTGGAGAAAGGAACAAGGCAGGTTGATTTGGCGCGCCAGCATGGCGTGAACGAATCTACGATCCGGACTATAAAGAAGGATTCAGCCAAGATAAAGGAGCACATGAAGATCACAAAGTCTACAGGTGCTTCTATGATCAAGTATTTTCACAACCAGGTGCTTCTCAAGACAGAAAAATTACTTGTGAGGTACTTGGTGCGTCAGGCGCGACGGAACATGGCGGTCGACACGCGCTCTGTGAAGGACTATGCACGTGAACTGTACATGGCAGTGGCACGAAAGATGGGAACTTCAGAGCCCAAACCCTTTAATGCTTCCTCTGGGTGGTTACAGAGGTTTAAGATCCGGAACAAGATCACCAATATAAACATTGGTGGTGAAGAAGCGAGTGCTGATCGTGCTGCGGCTCGGGAATTTCCTCCGTTTTTACGTGAGATTATGGAGGAAGGACAGTATAGTGACGACCAGGTGTTTAACATGGACGAATCTGGTCTTTTCTGGAAAAACTACCTTCCAAGTCCTTCGTTGTGAAGAATGCCAGCAGGATTCGGGGCCGGAAAATGCAGAAGGAACGCATCACCGTCCTGTTTACCACCAATGCCTCCGGTACCTGTAAGCTCAAGTTATCGGTGATCCACACAGCCCGCAAGCCGCACGCCTACAAGAGCATGGACATGACCAAGCTAAATGTCCACTGGCTGACAGCACGTAAGGCATGGATGTTCTCTACACTGTCCCTCTCCTGGTTTGATGACTGTTTTGTTCCCGATGTAAAGAAATTCTGTGAGCGACAGAATGTCCCATTTAATATTTTGTTGCTGCTGGACAACGCACCAGGACACTCGCCCCTACTGTTAGATCGTCACCCCAACGTAAAAGTGGTCTTCCTTCCTCCCAACACTACGTCTATATTACAGCCCATGGACCAGGAGTTGATTTGCAATGTGAAAGCTGCATTCTCAACAAAAAAATTCCAGCTCCTGAACGACTACACCAACACCAGGGAAGAGTTGCGTAACCTGAGTGACACCACCACCGATAGCAAGAGCGACGAAGATGAGGAACAACAGTTAGAACAGCAAAAAATACTCTTCAAACAATTCTGGAGAGTATTTAACATCAAGAAAGCTGTGGACATCTTGGTGGAGTCATGGGATCAGCTGTCTATTGCTACAATTCGTCACGCATGGAGACATGTGTTGCATGGAATACCAGGTGAGAGGAGGAGTCAATCTGTGACTGGTGAGGTTCAGAATGTTGCAGTAGCAGTGGACCTTGCCAGAGAAGCTGCGCAGACTGTTACAGTTCCAGGCTTCTCCGAGACCACCAACGACGACATCCTGGAGGTGATCAGAAATCCTGAAGTGACTGCCGACGAGATGTTGGAAGAAGAACACGTCAGTGAAGAGGAGGAAGAAGGTGCGGCAGTCTCCGAAGAACACAATTTAAGTCATAGTGATATTAAGGGTGCCATGGAGTGTGCAGAGAAGATGAAGTCCTTCCTTTCCCGCGACAATGACGATGACCGCTATGAAGTCTTCCATAACCGGCTGGTGCAGGCTATGGAGCCGTACATCAAGGTGTATCACGACAACATCAACGCCAGCCGTCAGCAAAGCATAACAGATTTCTTCACCCGCAACCCACCACAGCCAGCCCAAGCCAGTGATAGTGACAGTGAAGTTGACTTTGAGGGATTTGTCAGGGAAGCCCTGACAACTGTAAGTGACAGTGATGATGATTCACCTAGTAATGGTGATTCACCTGAGGGCCAGTAATCTGCCCTCTGCCTCGGAACCAGCCTCCATCCCCGTATGCCGACCCATCTCTTCTACTACCGTAAGTGTTCCACCTAATTTTTAGTTTTCTAACCTTACCTATATTTTTCCTATGTTAACCTTTATCTTTCCTAACCTAACCTCTTCTATATTACTTGTTTTTTCATACCATCATAAAGTTAAGATAAAATTTTTACTGCAACATAGTTATGTGTCGTCAAAAAGTGGAGTTTGGGGATCGGCCTGGACTCCATTTCAATTAATCCCATATGTTATGTTATTCACTTTACGCGTTCCTCACTTTCCGCGGTACCCTCCGGGTTACATTAACCGCGTAAAGTGAGGGTTAACTGTATATGAATTTAGCTTCTTTTTAGGGGGGGGGGGGGGGCTCTAAAACCCTTAAAAACAGACTAGAGAGCTGAAATTTTCATATGTTGTCTTGTAGCTAAGACAGAGAGCTTTCCAAAAAGGTATAGCATGCCAAGATCAGACAATGACCAAGGTGTACACAAATAATTAAATGAACAAATGAAATTAAACATTAGTTCACATTCAAGTTTCAACATACACTTTATAATCTTTATTTACTATACGAAAAGACAGAAAGTATTTAACGAATCCAAAAAACTATAGTACTGTATAGCATAGGTAGCAAATAGCATCATGCCAAGATCAGATGATGATCAACTTATCAAGGTGTACACTGTACACAATTTCACAAATAATTAATTTGCATTCTCATACAACCTATTGGCCTTATTCATTATTCATGAAAATATGCAATACCAACCACATACACATTATACCAGTGCATTTTTATATAACTTATTGTTGGTCTAAGTCATTATACCAGTGCATTTTTATATAACTTATTGTTGGTCTTAGTCATGTAAATAAACAGAAAACTCTAAACTTTAATGAAAAGTAAGTTTTTAGAAAATTTTGTTTGGCGCACACCTTGGATGATAATCCTGGTTATGAACTTATGCAGTACTTAGCATAACCATGTATATTGACACAAAAAAATCCTAATTAAATTAACAAATAAATGAGAAATGAAATTATACATTAGTTTACAATTACATTCTATGATTCTTTCAACATACACTGACAGTTCTTTATTTACTGTAAAACAAAAAGTACAGTATTAAACTTTAATACAGTAATCGAAAAATTCCATTCGCTCAGCTGCTGCAGCGCAGCGTCGACAAATCATGACTTGTCACGTTAAGAACGTACTAACAAGCAGTCAGCCAAGCGTGCCTGACTGGCTGTTGGAGACACGGGTCGCGGCGTCACACGCTTACAACAGACAGGAACAAACATGTATAAATTTTGTTAGAGGGCTTAAAGCTAGCGGAACTAAATTTAGCGGAAGCTAATTGGTCCGCTTATGGTTTCCAAAGTCAACGAAAACGCTAATCCGCTAATGAGAAAGTTAGCTTCGCTAATTAGCAGTTAGTGGAACCGTGCCCACCAATGTCTATTACCAGTATGTATACTTTTTCTGTGAGTTGGAACCAATTACCCAATATCCCATTGAAATAACAGATTCGGTTAACGAACGACTCTGTGGAATGAATTGTGTTCGTTAACCGAGGACCACTGTATTGTGTAATAATTTGATTGACCCAGAGTCCCGATGACCTTGAATTAGCGAGTGTTCATTGTATACCCTGATTTTCAAGTGGACAACTCTGTTGATCAGTGATGTTTCCTCCAATTTAAGGACAAAAATAATTCAAAGAACTTTCTTTCAACTTTCTTAACCTTCTATCTGGAGAATTTCTGTACATTAGTGGTCAGACAAAAATTTTTACCCACCTGTATACAAAATAGTAATTGATCCATCTTGATTTAAAACTGGGTGTGATGTGAGGAAGCCAAGGTTGTAGGCAGTCTGCCTCCCTATACTGGTCTGACAAGTACCAATGGGACCCAGAGGACAGTGATAGTGAGTACCCTCATTCACCTGACCACAAATATTGATGTGGTACAATAAATCCTGTGGGAAAAATGAAGTGCATTAATAATTTGTAACAAAAAGTAAGGATTATCAGGCTGCTTACATTTATATTGGAATATAAAATTTGTGACATATACAGCACTGTACATAACAATACTGTACAATATATAGGTCTAATACACAACTCTAAACAATGTGCACCAAAGCACAAATTACACACCAGTTGTACAACCATTTTAAATGTTTGTCAAGATAAACCAATTTAGTAATATTCATAACATGTTTAGAAAACTTTTGGTTCAATAACCTTTTAACATTGGTAAACAAGTCTTATATCTACAGTACAGTAGAACGTCGCTTTAAAGTGATTCAATTTAAGATTATTGATTTTAAAGCAACACTCCACACTTAAAGACAATGTTTCAATTTAAAGCGAATCTTTCCTATTTTGCGCGAATCAATCTGGCGCATCATATTTCAAAATTCGCGCCTAATGTTTCTCTGGGCACACTACACTGTCCTAAGGGCAAAGCTGCACTGTACATGTACTCAAAATAATGTACTGTACTAAATGATAACTAAAATTTTAGTCTAGTGCAAATGATAGCATGATTATATTCAAATCAATCACTATCTTAAAAGAATTCCAGCAATGTAAATTATATTCTCCCTGGTCACTTCTGTGACATTTTCTAAACAAAAAACAAAAACTCAATCTAAAGGACATAAATAAACAAATAAATACTTCACTAGACCTTCAGCCCCAACTGTGAAACGTGTCGCTGTCACCTCCCCCCCCCCCATCTTCCCAGCCAGGGTTTGGTGGTTATAGGCTTACAGCCTTTATTTTGTATAATATCAGACTAAAGTTAGGAGAATATAATTTACATTGCTAGAATCCTTGCAAGACAGCGAATAATTTGAATACAAACATCATATATTTTGCACAAGATATAAAAATTTTAGCCCTTTGTTATAAAATTAATTAGAACATGTCAGTTCAGTGACATTTTATAAGAGAAAAACTTAAAATCACTCTTAAGGACAGATAAATAAAGCACTAAACCTTGGCATCAACTGTCAAACATATTACCACACCTCCCACCCCCCAATCTTCCCATCAGCTGATCGCTAGTAAACAGACCATTTCACATCCCATAATTTTAGCTGTGTTGACTTATGAGTGTTTCTTTTAACATAATACTACAAAAAATAATGTTTTGTTATTCTAGGAGATGGACTGAGGTGCATCTGGGTAGACTCTGAGTCTTTTTAGTATTTTGTGTTTCTCTCAAGTATCAAACTAAATTATTCCATTGAAACAACACTTCGATTTAGTGCAAATTCTGTTTAAAGCGACCTCTCTTGGAACGTATCTCGTGTTATATCGACGTTCTACTGTACAGTCAGTCCTCGACTTACGACAGGGTTAGGGTCCGATGACCAGGTCGTAAGTCGAATTGGTCGTAAGTCGAAAATGAGAAAAAAATACATAGAAAATCTAAAATGGGTGTCTCTTTTTCTTCTCGGCACTACCAGTATTACTACTAGTAGTAGCAGTGAGCCAGCGCGGAGTGGGTGTGGTGTAGTGTCCTCCCTGATCTAAAGTGTTATTGGAGGGGACATATTCGGAGTGTGGGAGCGGTAATTTCACAGTGTATCGGTGAATATCGGATGTCACCCTAAGCATTGTCACCGAAGATTCTTCTCATCCCTAATGGCATTAATCGCAAATATTCCGTGTGTTCACCGGCGAGCACCAAGCGAGTTGTATTGGGTGGGACGACTAGTACTGGTGCCAGGAGCCAGTGTCGATAAGCCTACTTTGGCAGGGGTGGCATCGAGACTCTCGCCCCTATGGGGCCAAGTGTTCTACGCTTGCGGTTGCCTCCCCCAAGTAACGGACATTTCATGTAGTGTCGGCCAACCAAGGGGGTGACCTACACACCCACGCACCCACATATGCCCCTACTACCCGGACAGCAGTCCAGCCTGTCACCTCTCTGCCATTTCCCCATAAGAACTATTTTTTTCTCCTATATGGGACCAAAGCAGATGTCAGAGGAGGACGCAACTGTTGCCCATGGTGCGGAACACTATGCCGGGTAACAGTCACTGTTGCGTTTGTGCTAGCCAGAACCAAAATTGCACTAGCTGTGATTGTGCAAGAAACAACCGACCATGTGTGGTTTGCAGAAAGGGAAACAATTGTCGGAACCCACAAGGCAGGGAGCCGACACAGGAGGCCACAGTGGATATCGCCGGGACCCAACTAACCGATAATATCCTAAATGATAGCAGAGAGTCTACTCAACCTGAAAATTTAGTACGTACTAATAAACACTGCTCCAATAGTAGCAGATGTCCACGAGGTAAATGAGAGACAGCCACCACAGTGGAATGGCATGTCGATGGAAAATGCAGACATATGGGTTAAAGAAACTTACTCAGAAATTGTCAGGTAGTCACCAGCTAACCTGTTTGAACCACCCAAGTGTGCGGCCACCTAAGAAATGATTCGGGAGATGATTCGCCTCATAACTGAGTACACCCAGGACCGCTTCCTTGCCCCTTTAGCTCTTCAAATACTGGCAATAATACCACATCTATTCTGTCAGAGGACACACACAAAGACTAAGCACAAAGAAAATGCAGAAGCAATGAAGAGAAGATTGACAATGTGGCAGAATGGAGCCCTTGATGATCTCCTATGTGAAGCAAGAACACTGCAGGAGAGACTAAAATTTACAGGAGACAGAAAGCAAAACACCGATGATGTTGCAGGAAAGTTTGGAAACAAAATGTGTGTGAGAAAAGTGTCTTTGGCGGTAAGATCTCTCACAGAGGAATCCTCCAGTGGGGTTCTGCCAATAAACAGAGTGACATTAAAACAACTGAAAGAAACACATCCCCCTGCAAGTGAAGACGAAGGCATCAGGTTCCAGGGGCACTATATCCCACCAAATGCTGTCCTGTTCGAGAAAATAACAGGAGGGATGGTGTGGAAAAAGGCACTGAAAACTTGAGGAGATGCCGGCCCTTCAGGTCTAGATGCAAACGGTTGGAGAGTCATCCTCAGCACTAACAAGTTTGGCCCCGTAGCAAGTGATCTCTGCACTGCCATTGCCGTCCTTGCAAGAAAGCTGGCATCCTCGTGCTGCCAACACCTCCAGGATGTAGGCCTATAGGGGTGGGGGAAGTGCTGAGGCGGATCATCGGAAAATGCATAATGGAGGTGGTAAAGGATGATGTCAGGGCAACAGCAGGGAACCTGCAAGTTTGTGCTGGCCACCAGGCTGGAGGGGAAGCTGCCATTCACGCCATGAGAACAATATTTGAGCAGCGTGATTGTGAGGCCGTTCTCCTGGTGGACGCTTCAAACGCATTCAACATACTTAACCGCAAGGCCGCACTGCACAACATCAAGATCAAGTGTCCAATCTTTGCAATGTATGTTGAAAATTCCTATAGGAATCCATCAGACCTCTATACTGTATAGTAAACAACAAGGCTCTAAGAGGTGATACCATCATACAGTCAACCGAGAGAACAACGCAGGGGGACCCAGTTGCAATGGCAATGTACGCAATAGGCCTATCCGTGCTCCAACACACAATAAAATTTGAAACAAACAGTGTCTGGGCCACCTGGTGTGTATATAACAGTGATAACAGTGTCTGGGCCACCTGGTGTGTATATAACAATGATAATAGTGTCCAGGCCACCTGGTGTGTATATAACAGTGATAACAGTGTCTGGGCCACCTGGTGTGTATATAACAGTGATAACAGTGTCTGGGCCACCTGGTGTGTATATAACAGTGATAACAGTGTCTGGGCCACCTGGTGTGTATATAACAATGATAATAGTGTCCAGGCCACCTGGTGTGTATATAACAGTGATAACAGTCTCCAGGCCACCTGGTGTGTATATAACAGTGATAACAGTGTCTGGGCCACCTGGTGTGTATATACCAGTGATAGCAGTGTCTGAGCCACCTGGTGTGTATATAACAGTGATAATCGTGTCTGGGCCACCTGGTATGTATATAACAGTGATAACAGTGTCTGGGCCACCTGGTGTGTATATAAGCTATCAGCGTCAATTTCATTCCCAAATTAGTGAAACACCCTCACTTAACCCCAGCAGAAAGATCACTCCTTGCACTACCACCGAGACTGGGCGGAATGGGACTGACCAATCCAGTGGAGATTGCTGCCACCGAACATCAAAACTCAGTTAAGCTCACGGCAGCCCTCACAGACCACATAATAGCTCAGAATGCAACAGGGGAGGTGGATACCAGTGAAACAAACAAGATTCAAAGGTCCATTACGACAGAACGACAGCACGGCCAAAGTGATAAGTTGCAGCAACTGTTGCTGCAAGTATCAGAGAATTTGAAGAAAAAAAGTAGCTATAGCGAAGGAGGTGGGCGCCTCGAACTGGTTAACTACGTTACCGATAAGGGCAAATGGTTTCAGTCTCAATAAACAAGAATTTACAGATGCCAATGCTCTAAGGTACAGTAGGCCAGTAGAAGGTTTGCCCTCCCAATGCGTGTGTGGCTCTTCCTATGACGTCGATCACGCCATGGTGTGCAAGAAAGGAGGCTTCATATGCATCAGGCATGACGAAGTAAGGGATCTCACAGCAAATATGTTGAAGGAAATCTGCCGTGATGTCAGGGTAGAACCGACTTTCCTTCCATTGGATGGTGAGATTTTCCAACATAGGACGTCAAACACATCCAACAAAGCCCGTGTTGACGTCAGTGCTCGAGGATTCTGGACGCGGGGACAGTGAGCCTTCTTCGACATCAGGATCTTTGATCCCATGGCCACATGTCACCGTAACTTAGCTCTCGATGCTGCACACAGGAGGAACGAGAACGACAAAATAAGGGCATACGGGGAGAGAATTCAGAACGTTGATCAAGGCAGCTTCACTCCTCTAGTGTTCACAACCTCTGGTGGGATGGGACCAAGTGCAAGATGCTTCTATGCCAGACTCGCGGAGGTGATATCCGAAAAGAAGCA